AAGGCTATCAGGCCACCCTGGGCTGAAAAGGCCACCGTTGTCAGATTAGACACAAGATTGAATTTACCTGGGCTGGTTAGTCCGATGATAATACCTCAAGGCCAAAAAAAAAAAAAAAAAAAAAAAAAAACTTTTGTGGGTGTTCCGTACATACAGCAGACAGGGTGTTCCGCCGTACATACAGCAGACAGATCAAGAGGTGGGTGTTCCGTACATCCAGCAGAGAGATCAAGAATTGAAAATGGAAGTGACGAGGTGATCAAGGGAATCAGAAACAAAACAAAGGGAAAGAAAAAAAAGAACAAAAAAACAAGAAAACATATAGTCCTCCCTTCCGCGGCTGCACAGGATGGAGCAAGGAGAGGGGTCTGTTCGAGCTCGGCTGGCCGGCTTCCCAAATTTCAAGAGGAAAGAGCGCGGACGGGTGCATGTGTGGCTGAGTGGTGCACACATGTCCCTGTTGATGATAGACTGACCATGAGCTCGAATCCCTCGGGAAATCCTCCCGAATAGAGGAATGTTGGGTGCTGCTCCCTTTTTGGGTTTTTCTAAAACCAACGTAGACGACGACGATTCGTCTCTGTGACAGCACAACAGAACAGCACAGCACAGAACAGAACAGAACATAAATGTTTTTTTGGTACAGGGGACAGGTGAGCGTTGTCCGAAAAGCCGGGCCGATAAGGAGTCAGGAGACGACCAAACTGGGCAGCGCATTGTGGGTGCCGACAGGAGGAAGGTCCAATCGTTGGGTGGGCTGATCGGAGAGACGATGCTACTGTTCGCACAGAAGTAGAGGAACGTCGCGCAAGGAAGCATACGAGCCCAGCAGCGTCGCACACCTGGCGTCAGAGTCCGCCAGATTTGCCTAGCCAATCCCATAGTTTTTATTTTATTTTTATTTATTTGTTTATTGGTAATGCCGCCTACCCACTGGTAGTTCTTTTATTTTATTTTTTATTGGTAATGCCGCCTACTGGTAGTTCTTCGGGCATCGCCACACCACTCTCGAAATGTGCAAAATGAGAATGAACTACCCGTTAGAACATGGCCAGATGCACCCGCCAAATTTTCGGCTTTTCCACATTTGGAGAGTGGTGTGGCGAGGCCCTTTTGTGGGTGTTTTATCTTTGCCGCATCCATGGCATGCCGTGCCGTGCGAGGCCATGCCGTGCCTCGCCATATCCCGTCCCATTGTTTTCTGTCTGAAGGATGATTCCCGGTTTGTGGTGGCATCACAAGACGGCATCTCTAGAGAGGGGTTCGCTAGCTGAAGGATGCTACGGTACCGGTGATGATGATTTCTGTGGCACAACAGCCCATAACATAACAGGGGAAAATCCGTTCGAAAAAATGAATCGCTGAGCAATAGAGGAGAGAGAAGGGAAAAGATCGAATAATTGGAAAAGAGAAGGGAAAAGAAAAAACCAAAAGAGAACTATAAGAAACAGGAAAAAGATAACGAGATGGGAAAATGCGCAAGGCTACTGCTGTTTTTAGATATATAATGCCCCGCCTGAGGACGACGATTGGCGGGAGGCCTGAAACGGAAAGATTTCTTAGACTGGACGCGTTTTTCGTGGACCTCGGAAGCCCCGTTTGGAATGGAACCGCGGCTTTTCTTTTTTCCACAGTAGTAGTTGGGTGGGGTATCCTACTATCCGTGTATATTCGCGAGTTGTACAGGATGGGCCTTGGCCCGGGTGCGTGGCCCTAAACCTAGAATGCTTCTTTGTGATACCGACCCCTGTTTGTAGCAACAATAGCAAAGAGTGTAGTCGGTGCACGTCATGGGGATGACGCACAGGGATGGGGATGGCGGAGGTGGTGGAAGACGAGAGGGGTGGGTAGTGTTGACGGGGATTGTGTCAGACATAGGGGGTGTTGGTGGGGAGGGGGAGGGCAATGTATTATTCTTTCTGTCTGAGGGCCAAGCATGGGGTCAGTGGTTTAGGGAGAGCGGTGATGGTGATGGTGAAGCGGTGGAGGTGGTGAAGGACGCATCGGGTGAAAGATATGGCGCGCAATCACCTTGCCTTTCACTCTTCCCTCCCTCTCGAGGGGGAGGGAGGAGGCGAACGCGCAATGGCACCAGTGATGGCGGCAAGGGCAGGCTAGCCACGAGGAAGCTTATCTGGAAGGGAGGGAGTGGGGGTGTGGGCACTCGGCGAGTCCGAGTTGCTCCATAGGGGAAAAAGGCATAGGGTGGGAAGAGAGGGAAGACGTAATGCTGCATTTGGATGCCTGAATGGGTGGTGGCTGATTCAGTAGGGTTTGTTTGTGGATGGGTGGTGCGTGTCAGGGGTGGTTGTACTTGTGTTGATAGAGTATCCTTGTCATATATACTTTATAAAACAACAATATACATATATACATATATAAATATAAAAATACACATATACATAGTATACATACCGTATATACATTTGAGTGCGGAGTGGGAAGAAGAGTGAAGGAGGAAGGGGGGGGGAGACGGGGGGAAAGAGAAAGGTGGGCAAAGCGGGGGTGAGAGGGGAAAGAAGCGCAGGAGTGGAACGAGAGGAAAGGAGGTAGAGATCATTCATTGCTAGGGTGGGCGGTGTTTGTAAAATTGAAATTATGGCAGATGTGACATTATCGCAGTCGAATGGTGGGGGGGCTCTGCAGGGTGGCGGAAGCGTGTTACGAGCCCCCGGCATGGCGTTCTGCGCGCTGACGCCCGGGTCGCTGCCCCCGCGCAAGCGGCTATCGGTGGGGTGGAAGCAAAATGGGTGCACGGGGGTGATGTTTCAGTCGAACACAGCAGCATCCGTACTATCTCTGTCCACGCCACAGCCACAGAACAGACATCACAGCCAGGCACCTTCTTCGTCGACGTGCTTCTCTCGGCCATCACCCGCCCGGCCTCCGGATGAGAAAAGGCGCTTCGGAGGCGGAGGAAAGGACAAAAGCGAAGAGAGGAGGGAGGGGGAGGAGGGAGAGGAAGAATTCCAGAGAGAAAAGGAGAAGAGGGAGGTGTTGTCAGAGCTCCGCTGGGGAACATCAGTGAAGGAGACGGCGGAAGTCAACGCCAAGAATCGATGCAGCGATGACGGAAAGCTTCTTCCTCGCCATAGCCTGCCGCATCGACGCTCGGCGACAGGGCCGCGTACCCCCCGAGAGTTAGTCATATCCACGGTGGGATTGGGTTCTTCTGCGGGCACTTCGATTTGCGGCAGCGGCGCCGGTGCTGGGGAGTCCAACTGCGGTACGAGCCACAGGCAAAATAAGCACTTGACAGGTAAATGCAGCCATTGCCGGTCTGTGGGCTCTGGCACGGGCGAATCCGCGGAAGATGACGTCAACGGTAATAGCATTCACCGCCCCGAAAGACCTCGATGCGCGGTTAGCATCACCCTGCCGACGGAGGAGAAGACGGGGAAGGAAGGGGGTCAAGGATGTAGGAGGGTGGGGGAGGGGTTTAAATCCGCCGTCTCGTCGGAAGCTGTGGCCTGCGTCGAGCAACAGCAGCAACAGAAGCAAGGTCTGCGTAGAGAACAAGGGCGCGAAGAACTTCCCTCCGCGGCGCAAAGCGCGCCAGTCCCTCCTCCCCCCCCCTCCACTCCACCCTCCTCGTCGAAGATGTCCGCTTCAGTGGTGAGGCTACCTATCTGGGGCTCGGAGTTCTCGGCAGTGAAGTCCTCCAAGTCCAACAAGACGCAGGACAAGCTCAAGGGGAAACCACCGGCTGTTCCGACCGGGAGCACGACGGAGGGGAGCGGCGGGGGCGAGCAAAATCCCGCTCTCGCGCATCACCCGTGCGGCGGGAATGGTGATGGGGACGCCATAACGGGCAGCAGCACGCGGGCAACAGCCCATCCTCCTCAAGTCGTGGAGTCGTGCAATACGAAGAAGGATGGTGGCGGTCACGGCAATGTCGTTAGTGTTGGTGTCAACAGAAACATCTTGAAGACGCGAAACACGGTGGACGTGTGCGCGTTGCCCGGCGGCGCTGCTCGCTGCGCGAAATCCGCCGGAGGTTGCGGGGCGACGACGGGGGAAGGCGGGGGGGAGAGCAGCAGCGGAAGCGGTCTTTGCCGAGGGAGCACGCTGCGTCTACCCATCAACATCATTCTGCCTTCTCGTTCGAGCCCCGTCCGAAAGAAACCCCGGGGTGGCTTGTCGGGCTCCAAAGAGACTCCCGCGGCCTCATCCGTGGACAGCGAGGGCGGTCGCCATCGCTTCCGCCAGAACGGTAGCAGCGAAGCCGGCGTGGTCGTCATCAAGGTAACGGCGTCGGCAGCGACCGCTGCTGCCTTCTCCGGTCCGCGACCTAGTTCCACATCGTCGCTTGCGGCCCCCGGGTCGAGCAATGGGGGGAAGTCGGGCGACGCCGATGGTCCCGTGGATAGGGTTTCGAGGGGGGAGGAGGATACGACGGTGGGCGGCGCTGGGCGGCGGAGCAGTGGTTGTCCCGCCTTGGACACGTCCGATGAAGGACTCCGCAGCAGTCAGCATGCGGGGGGGGGCGAAGGTGGAAGCGGCAGCGCCGAAGGCGGCAGAAGCCCTCCACGTGTCACGAGCAAGGGAGGAGGTCATCATCCCACGAACGGCGGCAGCGGGGCGGCAGCGCCGTTCGCTGGCATTCCGCACGCCGCCTCCTCTTCCTCTGGAGGCGGCAGCTCGCTGGGGGGGGCTCCGGCGTCCATCGTGACGCTGACCTTGGAGAAGGCGAATATTACACCGACTGCCTGCAACTTGAACGCGCTATCTTCGCCGCCGCGGTCGCCGTCCTCTGGAGACAGGCGGTCTCCATCGCCGCCGCGGTCGCCTTCCCCCGCTCGCTTCCCTTCCGCGCCTCGGTCACCTCCCCGCTCGGTGTCCCCGGCTCGACCTGCATTCGGAACTCAAGAAGCGGCGGACGCTGCGCGCGCCGAGGCAGCGCTGAAAATCAAACTCGCAGCGGCCGCTAGGGCCGCTGCCAACGGGAAGGCGGCCGTGGCAGCGCGAGCGGCGGCCGCCGCGAAGGCTGCCATAGAATATGCGGCGCTGGCCAAACAGTGGGAAATGAACGCTAAGGCGCAGCAGCAACAGCGCAAAGCGCGCAGCGCTCTCATGAGAGGATTAGGGGTCAGCGGAGGAGACGGCAAAGCAGCGGGGGGGAGGTTTGAGCTAGTGGGCGCTCTTGGAGCGCTGAAACTAGAGCTTTCGAAATTGAAGGCGGACCGAGGGGAGAGGCTAAGGGGAGTCGTGCTGAAGGGTGAGAAAATCCGAGAGGATGGAGTGGGGAGTGAAGAGGTATCGCGAGGAGGAGGAGGAGGATGCATATCCTCTGCGTCGTCGCCCATAGACGACGAAGAGCTAGCGCGGCGATTACACAGGGCAATCAATAGTTCGCCTCGCATATCTGGAAGTCTGCCGCTTAAGCGCAAGAATAGCATGGACAGCAGCAGTAGCGGTGGCTGCGGGGGAAGGTGGGTGTCATCCTCCCCCCCGCCGGGTATTGCGCAACAAGTTTGGGGTGCTTCTATTGGCTTTGCTGTGTCGGATGGGCCGAGTGGCGGGGAAGCAGCGAAGGCTGCTGCCCCCCTCTCCGCCTCCGCCTCCGCCTCCGCCTCCGCGTGTCCTCGACCTTCTTCTTATGGAAATTGCCAATCTCACGCTAGCATCCGGGAGAGGGCCAGTAGCAGCAGAGAGAACGCCCCTGCGCCCGATAAAGTCGGGGTTTCTCCTCTTCTTCGCCATCGCCACGGACCGCTTCACGAACTCGGGTCGGGAATGCTGCTGTGGAACGACAAGGACGAGGCCGGGCCGTCCATGATGGGATCTTCGGGCGCAGGCGGAAAACTCCGCGCCCCTTTTTCCGGATCTGTGGACAGAGAGCAAAGGAAGGGCGGAGGCGCCGGGCGCGCTGAAGGTAGTGGGGATGCGGCCGCGAGGTCGCCTGAGAGGAAAATCACTTTGAAGAGGTTGGAGCAACGCGAAAAAGGGGCGTCGTCTTCCGACGCGGAGAAGGCGGTGACACAAAGAGGAGCAGCGGGAGGAACTGAAGGGGATAGCTCTTCTTCGTATTTCAGGGAAGCAGAGCGGTCTCGCGCGTCCGTGCCGATGATGCTGTGGAAGGATGGTAGTGCGGCAGCCGGCGCAGCGGACGAGAAAAGTGTTGCCGTTGTTGTTGCTGCTGGCGCTGCTGCTGCTGCTGCGGCTGGGGGAGTTAGCAATGCTGCTGCTGGCGAGCGTGGCAATGCGCCGCCGCGCGGATCTGAGGCGGAAAGAGGAGAGGATGGAGGGGGGGGAGGAGCAGCAGGAGGAGGAGGAGGTGTTTGCGCCTCCGCTCTTGTCGTCTCCGCGTCCTTCTCCCGAAAGGCGGAGGCTTTGGCGGGCAGCAGCCTCTCAGCCGGTTGTGCTTCTGGGGCGGCGGCAGCATTTGCCACGACGGGCCAACAACAGGAGAAGCTGAAGGGGTCGTCTGTGGATGGGAAAGGTAGTAGTAGGGATCCTAGCCTCGGCAACGGATCAGCGGATGGTGCGACCAAGGTGATAACGTTATCGCTTGTGAAACGACGGACGGGAGCCTCGCCCAAACGACCTGATCGCAGCTATTCGCCCAAAGGACCACCTACGCCCCCCCCACTCTGTCTGGCTTCTGTCTCGGCGAGTGCTGCTGGTGCTGGTCTCGGGGACGGACACGGGGTGTCCTCGATGTCAGGCCAAGGGTCGTCGCCGTGTGCTTCGGCAGGCGCGTCTCCGCCGCGACGGGCGTCCAGCCCTCGATCTCCGGAAACGCCATCTTCTGCCGCTTCTGCTCTCCATCATCATCATCAGCAGCAGCAGCAGCAGCATCATTATCATCGTCTCACGCAAGGGAACGGGGCAGAGAGGGTGGAGAAAGCGACGTTAGGGGTGCTGACTACGGAGGCTATGCCGCCGGGAGGGGTGGCGGCGGGGGGGAGTAACGCCGTGACGGCCGCTGGCGGAGGAGTTTGCCTCAGCAATCGATCTGTCGGCAGCGGCAGCACTTGTGTTACAGCAGCGGTTCGTGTGAAAGTCGTTTCGGAAGCCAGCAGGAGCAGCAGCGGCGGCCGAGTCAGCCATCATCATCATGCTTATTATCATCATAGCAATGGGGCGACGGCGGGGGCGGTCTCGTCGTTATCACCTCCTGCGCAAGCGGGCGAGCAGCGGTACTCGTCGCAATTCAGGGAAGTTTCAACGTTGACCTCGAAAGGGACGGAGAAATCGGACTACGGAATGGCGCAGCGCCTGCGGCCGACTACGACCGGGGAGAAGAGAACAAGCGGCAGTGCCTTTGCGGTGGCGGAAAGGGCCTGCGGTCGCCCCGGAGGCGGGTCGGGCGCAGCGACGGGAATATCTGCAGGTGCGGGTGGAGGCAACAAAGAAGGGGCGGGCATTGATGTCTGGGTCAAAGGCGAAGAAGGATTGGGGTCGATTGTGGTGAGTGGGAGCGAGAGGCATTTCAGTCAGCATTGTTCTGCTCTGCAGGATTCCTCGTCGGCCAGGGGGAGCGAGGAGAGGGAGGGGGTGCGAGCCGGGGAAGCAATGGAGTGCTCCGCTGGGCCCAAAGACTCTCGTTCCTGCCATGGCCCTCCAGGGGACGGGGCGGCAGCAGCAGGGGAGGCGTTGCCCCACCTAAACGACGAAGTGAAAAAGGATGGTGATGAGGGCTGCCGCGGGGAGGAAGCTAGCAAATTCGTGAGGCTCCGGTCGTTGGGTGAGGGTAGCGGCGCATCGCGTGCCAGCGATGCCGACGAACTCGTGCGCAAAGTAGTAGTCGTAGGAGGAGGAGGAGGAGGAGGAGGAGGAGGAGGAGGAGAAGGGGAGAGGAGCCGCCATTGTGATGAGTCGTCTGATGGGACGCGAGCAGCAGCGGTGAGCTTGGCGGGTAGTAAGGAGGCGGTGGGAGGGGATTTGGAGGCAGCGACACGAGGCCGCCCGAGTGACGCTAGCGGCGTTTCTCTCGCGGTCGAGGGGGGGCTTGGGCTTGATTGCGGTGCCAAGGCGGGGGCCGCCGGCTGGGATGTCCCGTCGGGAAATAGCAAGGGTTTCTACGGGGATGGATGGAAAAAGAGAAAGATTCGAGAGAATTCCTCCGACCACGAGCGTAATCGGGAGAGGCGGGAGTTTCGCGCCAGCGCAAAGCGGACCGTGGTCATTCCGTTGGGACTCATCAGCAGAGCAAACCGGAGCAGCAGCTGCGCTGCTGTCTGCTCGGGCGTGGGCGCAACTGCGCGGGACGGCGGCGGAATGTGCGAGGACTCGTCTCCTAGCCATCCGTTGCAAAACGCGGGAAGAATGCCCACGGCTGCTGCGCGGGAAGGATGTCCGAATGAAAGCGGCGGGACTGGTGCCGGAATTAGCCACGTCAGCGGAAGAGGAGACCCAGCGGGGGAGGGAGGAGACAAGAAGGGCGGGGGGCCTGTGAGCAGCGCTTGGCGGGGCGGGGAGAGCAATCAAGACTACTGTAGTAGTCATAAAGGTTGCGCGATCGAGGCTGGGCAGTTATCCATTGTCGGTCGAGAGGGTTGTAGGTCGCCTATCTCCTCCGTACCGGCAATGCAAGGAGCGGCGAATGGTGGAGCGGGGGGGGTTGGAAGCTCTCTTCCTTCCGTTGAATGTGGTGGCTCCTCGTCTTTTAGGTCGCATCAAGCGAATGGTAAATCGGCGACAACCGCCGTAACGGGCAAGACCTTGCTAGGGTTCGGGAACTCATCAGGCTTCGGAATGGTGTCTACCATGATTTCTCTTCCAACAACAGCTGCGCTGGCGAATGGCCCTCGGCGCGCTTAAGGGAGCGTCCACCTTGTGAGGTAGGATGACCATCTTCGGCTTCCACTTCCTCTCGTGATAGCTAGCTTATTCTTCTGACCTTCCCCTGCGTTATGCATCTTGTGCGTTCTTCGCTCCAAATGACCCTTCCTCTCCGTTCTCCTCTTCCCTCCTCACTTGGCTCTCGTTCTCTCTCTCCCCCTCCCCCCCTTTCTTCCCTGTGCGTCTGTGATCTAGCATATTGTTAGTTTTAGAGCTGGCTCCAATTAAGGCTTGAGGATGAGTTGAGGGAGATAGGAGGTGAGTGGGGAGAGAGGGTGGTCGGTGTCTGAACTTTGCCTTTCTTGTTCTTTGGTGCATGTTCTTTCGCTTACACTCGTTCCCTCCTCTCTGCGCGGCCCCTTCCGCCCCCTTCCCCCCCCTTCCGCCCCTTTCCGCGCCCTTTCCCGCCCCCAGCGGGGGGTCCTTATCGATGCTTGCTGGCCCTTGGATCAACCTTGTAGTGGAAGGCCGTAGCTTAATTTGGTAGATGAATGAATATACGTGTTTCTATTCAGATAGGCATCATCGTTCTTTTTTTTTTTTTTTTTTTTTTTTT